GCCTGCGAACCAAATTAAAACATGAAGTTACTGCATGTACTTGTACATCTGGTAAAATACTCACTTGTATAGGCCTGCCATGTTGCCAGAACATTATTCTTTGGTGAGAGTTGAAGGCAAACTGCCTTTGGAAGATCAAAGGCGCACAGTAACTCACCACTGGTGACATTAACAACATTTACTCTGGAACAAAAAGATGTTATTTCAATAAAATATGCTTAAAATGCTTCATTAATAGCCAAGGTAACTTTCTGCATATAACTCTTCTGGATCTGTCCCAAATTTGGCCAATGTAATGAAGTTAGAAGAGCTTTTTTCCCCTCCTGCTTTTACTAAATTTTTGCAAGAATGCCTTTTAAAACTAGATACCCAACAGGAACTAAGTGAAAGCACTGGTCAAGATATATCACATATTTTTATCTGCAATACTTAAACTCTAAACAAAAGATACATCCCATCCATAGAGTCCATCCACACCTCCACAGTGCTGAAGTTGAGCACAACAGAAATATTGTAATTGAACTGAAACACACATTTATCATTTTAAAAGCCTTCTATCTATAACAATACATCATTTATGATTTGGTCTTTTTGAGACTGGGGATGCAGGGAGACAGGGACAATAAAGAGCAAAGGTCAGAGAGCTGAATAAACAAGGTCAAGCAACATCTCTGAATGCTGTGTATTAAAGATCTGCCACATATGGAATCCAAAGAAACAAAAAAGATCACATCAAGATGCTTCCAAGTCACTGTTGTTCTTGGAAGCTGCATTAGGAGCCTGTTTCTACCATCTCCCTAACTGCTCCCTCTCAGAAATGAAGACGGACAGCCCCCAAAACAAAGAGGCACAGTAGGACAGGAAAGATTTGCCATTTGGAATACTCTCACTTAAAGTGTAGGTACCTGGATACACAACCTGGTTGTTTGAAAAACATTGTCCTCCACAAACATTTCCTGGAAATGGATGCTTCCAATTGACAAAAATTAAGTTTTTAATGAAAAATATTTAGGGTTAGGTTTAAATATTTTGCAGAACCAAAAAGAAAAGAGAAAGTAGTGAATCCTACATCTATGTTACCTACTTAAAAGAAAATGGTTATATGAAATTACTAAATACTTTTTTAACCTGTCAGTAAGAATACTGGCATATCAGAAGAAGCCTTATCTTTACAGCAGCAACCCCATGATCCACTCTTACATAAAGGATTATCTCCAGGGAACTCTCTAATGCACTGGGTCTATAATAAAGGAACCTTATGTTGTTTATATGCAAGATGCAGGAATTCTTCATCTTCTGTGAACTTTACCAACAGATTAATCCCAGAAAACGAGGTACTATTGTACTAGGAAATATGAACACAAAAAGAAAACCTAAATAAAGCATATCCAGATTCCACAGGAATGGGTGCACTATAAATATAAGGAAACAGTAAATATTTTATCAAATATTCAGGAAATAAAGCCACTACAGCGAATAATGCAAAAATAAACTGAATTTAAAGCATGTATGCAAACACATAACAGCAATAGTTTTTACACAGACAAGAGTAAATGTGGCACAACTGACCCTGTTTAATGCAAACTAAACAATTAATATAATAAAATGCACCTACTTTTCTCCATTGCACCAGGCAAAGAGGGAACCGTCCTTGCTAAAAGCAACAGCTTTGCAATTTTTTCCAGAGTCCCTAAAGAAGTAAGAATTTCACATTAGGATTCAGAGATACTGCATAAGTTAAGGTATTTTTAACAAAATAAAAACCAACAAACCAATTTCCCTGATGCACTTCTGAGTAGCGCTTTTTAACAGTGCAGACTACTCGGCAGTTGTTCAGGGACCATGAGAAGTCAGGCAAGCATAAAGCCTTCAAAACCATCAATTTTCTAAACTACTACCAGTAAGAAAAAAATCACATTTATACATTTCTCAATTCTACAGTCTACCTTTACTTTTTAGAAAATAATTTCCTTTGTGCAAAAGATAAAAACTAGTGAGAATAACTGTACCTTTGAAAGGCTGTGTTCTCTGTGAAACTAGGTGGCCCATTCACCATATAAAGCCCTTCTGATCCTCTCACTGGAAGAGTGAAAAAATAATTATCATTTCAAATTCAGAGAACTGCCCAAAGCAAAAGTTTTTCCTAATCTATGCACCTTGAGACCTGCACACGCTTTTTCCCTGTTTGCATTTCAAAGTGAGAGAGAGGGCTGTAAGGAAATTCAGAACGTAACATATGCCGAGGCTCCTGGCTCATCCACGGCAGCTGCAGGATTAAAACACAGAACAGATGCATGAAGAGACAGAGCTGAGCTATTGCCCTGGACACTGCTGCTGACACAACAGCAACCAGCCAGCACTTTGCCAGAGCTAAGGACTGAAGCGGGACAACTGCTGCCAGTCCCAGCTTTCCCACACCTAGTCATGCAATCAGCTCCCTGCTTCGACCAGCAAAGCCCTTCCAGGGCAGCCTTCCCAACGGGGTCAATACATGAACCAGTCTGTCCCTCTGCAATGGGAGCACAGGCGTCAGTGCAAAGACGGGAGCATAAGCACTGCCAAGGGCAGCAGGGCAGGGCAGGATAGCCCCAAATCAGGTGCATGGTGGAGGGGCCAATGCGGGGGGCACCCCTAGGGCTACCAAGCCCACCCCTGCTTCAGGTGGGGGGGGAAGCATCTCCAGAGAGGGAGATCCAAGGCTTCTCTAGGCAGCCTGCACCCAAGGTCAGTCTCACAGTAAAATAGCTTTTCTTATGTTTAAATGCAATTCCCTGGATGTCAGTTTGAGCCCATTGCCTGTTGTCCCATCACTGGATACCACAAACCAAGAGTCTGGCTTCATCTCACAAGATGACCTCAAACTACAAAAGAGCTGCACCTGCTTAAGGAAGGAGGGTTGGATGACATCTCATCCTGAAATGGCAGATGGTGACAGGTCTCAACCCTGCTGCAGAAAGCACTTTCCTACTGCCTAACCTGCAAAAGCTGAGAATGCTCCATCACTGCAAGAGCCACTCGAGCATCCTGCACAATGGAGTTGAAAAGAGCTGCCTCAGTACATTTCAAAGCGAGGATTAGCTGTCTGAACACAGGAACAGCATTTGCCAAAGGAAGATTACGTTGGGCTGGTTTTTTTTTGCTGACATTAGGCAAGATTTGCCCTGCTGGTAGTTTCAACATTGAACTTCAACTGGGAAAACAGAAAGCATGAAGGAAATATCAGTATAAACTGTGTTTCAGATTTCTTTTTTTTCAGAGCCCTTGCCATGCTTACAGCACTAGAAAACAAGAAATGAAAATGGACTCATGCAAAGCTGTGCAGGTGGGACAGCTGTATATAGATTGTTATATATGGTTGGGTTTTTTTTCGGGTAGTTCTATTACAAGCACATTAGAATTCAGAGTTGAACCATGAAACTGGTAACTATTACACAGGCATTAGCTGTGCTTTATGTGTTTTCTTGGTGTGCTGAGGTGACAATTTTTACTGTCAAACATGACTCAAGAAGCAGGATCAAGACGCCCAAGCTGCAGGCTCTGCAGCTGTGTTACCTGAATGAAGCACTGTGGCCAGCAGCAGTGCAGCAGGAGGTCTGGGAGCAGAATGTCAGCACACACAGGCACAGCAACACCTAGGACAACAGTAATGTCTGCCACCAAACGTCCCTATGCTGCACTTTGGAGCTGCCCCTTTAACTGCTGAGGGTCCTTACTCCATCTCTCATAGCACTTTAGAAATTAACAAATGGAAATAATTGTAAGCAGCAGTTTATTATGTGGGCAAATAGGGGTTTGATAGGTTTCAAACTTCCACGTGCTCTATAGCCCTTTACATCCCTGGGGGTACAACATACCCCTAACATACCTCAAGGGTATGTTTTAGCAAGTCTTTAAATATGACCCACTAGCTTCACACCCCTGCCCCGAGTCTATTTCCCAGGTCTTTGTCAGGCTGCCAAGAAAAATCAAGATCCAAATTTCAGATCTAAGTTACAGACAGTAGCAAGTAGTCCAAAACCCACCCTGGACAGCTACAGGCCCCTGTCACACCCATGCAAAGATAAATAACGTTGGCGTTTAAAGCTTAGAAAAACAGGAAAATAAAAAAATTAAATCCCTCATGTTATGGGCAACTTCAGAAGTGAAACAAAGAGTAAAGGAAAAAGAACTCTCGAAAGGCACTTTCCCACAAAGCGCAGTGAAGGCGCTTCTGTGAGCTACGAGCTCCACCCGGCTGTCGAGCGGTTCAGACCCAGGCAGGCCGCACCTCTTGCCGCCGCGGCCCAGGGCTGGGTCCTGCCCTGCTGCACCCGCCGCCCGGTCCCTCCAGCACAACACCTCCGGGAGTGCCTTCCGTCATAGGCCGCATGAGGCAAGCGACCAAGGCAAAGGAACGAGCACGTTTTAGAAACCCTGGCAGCTCCCTCACGGCAGGGCAGAGGGAGACCCGCGGACAGTCCGGCGGCTGTCCAGCCGACGAACCCACCGAGCCAAAAGACGAGCGTGCCCACGAGGCACTGTCGGCCCCAGGGAGCGGAGCGGGCCCGGCCTGGTGTGCAGAGCAGGGCCCCCAGTACTCGGGGCCGGGACCAGCCACGCTACAGCAACGCAACCTGGGAAGGGGACCTGCGGGGGACAATGGGCGCCCGGCCCGACCCCCGGCCATGGAGCCCACTTGCCGCCAGCAACCCCGGCCTCCTCCTCCTCCTCTTCCTCCTCCTCCTCTACCACCTCCACCACCACTTGGCCCCGACGCACCTGCCAGCAGGGGCGCAGGAGGCGCCATCTTGGCACGGCAGGTTTGGCTTCGGCTTCCGCTTCCGGGTGAAAAGCGACACGGCCGCCCCAGAGACGTCCACGTCGAGAGGGGCAGGGGCGGGCGGGGGTGAGGACGCCGGCGAGTGACGCAGCGAGGGCTCTTCCGCCCGCCGCGGCGCGCGCTGCCCCGGAAGCGGTGCTGCTGGGCGCGCGGGTTGGCGGCGGGTGGCGGCCCCGCCCGTGGCGGCGCGTGTTTCCGGCGGGCGGTGCCGCGCGGTGCTGACGCTGGCAGCGGGCGGCGCGCGGAGCTTCGCGAGGGGACCGGCGGCCGGGCCGTCCGGCGGTCGGTCGCACCATGGTGGCCAAGCAGCGCATCCGCATGGCCAACGAGAAGCACAGCAAGAACATCACCCAGCGCGGGAACGTCGCCAAGACCTCGGTGCGCGCCGGGAGCGGGCGGGGGTTGGGGCCGGGGTGGCAAGCCGGGGTGATGGGCGGTGCTGACGGCGGTGCTGTGCCTGCAGAGGACGGCCCCGGAGGAGAAGGCGTCGGTCGGGCCCTGGCTGTTGGCGCTGTTCATCTTCGTGGTCTGTGGATCAGGTAAGCGGGCGGAGCGGCGCGGGCGGGCGGGCCCCGCGGAGAGCCCGCTGCGGCCCGCCCGCTTCTTCTCCGCGTGAAGCGCTGCCGACAAGCGCTTCCCTCCCCTCCCCTCCCCGCTCTCTTGCAGCCATCTTCCAGATTATCCAGAGCATCCGAATGGGCATGTGAGGGGCCCGTCACCTGTCGGGGCCATCCGTCCCCGGCGCTGCCGTGAGCTGCCCAGCCCCCCCCCCCCCGCCCCCGGCTGGCGCCCTCCAGCCCCACTCTGTGCAGCGGCACCGGCCACATCGCATTCCAGGTCCCTTCACAGCCATTCCGAGTTTTCTAGCCCGTGCCACAGTGCCTTGAACAGCACTACATGTACAAAGCAATAAAAGTATGTTGTTGATCTACAATCGTGGACCTCCTTATTCAGTGAGGTGCACGGTCATGTTCTCTGTGGATACACTATGCTGTACACGATGTAGATACTTAGGAGTTGGCACCTGTCATGAACACCGGAGATCTGTTTAAGTCTCTGTGTAGCTGGAAATGATTTTATTTAATGTCAGAAGCCTGGATTTTTATAGTAGCTGGAGTACAAGTTTGAAGCATGCTCCTGATGAAGCAAATGTTTCGTGCCACGTCCTGCAGCTTGCCAGGCACATCATCCACATCATCCTCTGTACACGTAGAGTAGCCTCACTGCAGCATGTGGCAGTGTGCTAGCGCCCAAACGCTTCTCACAACGGAAAACTTTATCCTACGCCTCTTGTCCTAATACATATGGAGTGCTTGTTTGTATAGAGTTAGGGGGCGTTACTTGGTTAGGAAGCGGCGTGACCAAGCAGCAGCTCTTCCTGACATAACCTGATGCCGAAGCTCCACAGACTGCTGAAAGGCTCAACTGGAGCTGCCACCACCTGACTGAGCCTCCCCAGGCTGCGGGTTGTGACCATTCTGTAAATACTTCTTGGACAGCGTTCAACACGTGGTGATAGTTTTGAATTTTACAATATTGTATGGGAATGTTTCATGCAGGTACAGGGACCCTGTGCCCAGAGTTCTGCTTTTATGTGCAGCATTGGCAGCGTGTGCTATGTCTTGCAATATATATTTAATCTTACTTAAGGTAAATCCTGCTTTTAACTCAGTTTCATCTAACGATGGATCCAGTACTTAACTGCTGCCCTACGAATGATCACAGTTCCTTCTTAGTGATGCTGAAGAAAAAAAAAAAAGCCCTCTTTACACATGTAGATGACTGTAACTCAAGATCACAGTGGGAAATGCTGCTATTGATTGTATTTTGTTGCTGATGGCCCAGGCTTTATGTTGGCCTTTTGCTGTCTGTGGTAACAAAGGCAGTCTGAAATGGGTCTGCTGTTGTACACAGTTTCTAAAGGAAGATGTCTTTTTTTCAGGTTTCTTAGCAGAAGATGAATTTAAGTCTGGTTACATTAGCAGTAATAGAAAAAAGTTTCTGTAGAGATAATTAAATGCTCGTTAGCCATGAAGGAGCAGATTTTTCATATGAGTTGTCGTATATACGTATGATACCGTTGGGACTGGTGTAAGCTGGCATGGCCAGGAGCATGCCCCAGAGCTGTACAAGGTAACATGCATCCCTTGTGCTCGGACTCTCATATTTTGTAAGTGGTATAACCTCTGATTTAAAATAAAGTTCTTTTCAAGTGCAAGATGCGTTCGTTTTGAGGTTGGCAAAATTGTGCCCTACTGGGTGTTGAAACCGGGCCACTTCACAATTAGTGCAGCTTACTGAGCTTCTCCAAGAGGATCCCTTTTGCTGCAGGAAACACCCATGTTTGGCTCATCTGGGGTCTGGATTGTGCTGGTGCTGTGATGCCGTGGAACCATTGGTTGCAGGGGCTCCAGTCACAGAGGCAACCCACTGCTGCTCCCCTTCCCTGTGGGGCTTCACTATGGCTGTTCTCTGACATGCCTGTTCTCTGGTCCTTGGGGGTACAGTGGAAGCCCAGGGAAGTCTGACTGGTTCCTGCTTCCACAGGAGCCATTTACACAGCCTCATGAGGGACTGTGGTGACCTGAAACTTCATGGTGGATTTTACTGAACTTCAAAGAACAAATCTGCACAAGACTTGCTTGCTTTGGTGCAAAGCCAGCATGCATCATTGGTCTTTGCAGTGCTTTGCCCTTGTGGGGGCTCAGTGCATGTTTTCAAGCATGGCTGGATTCAGAACAGAAGCACGTTGTTAGTCACATGTAAATAAAAGGATGTGCAGCAGCTGTTTGTGTTGTAATTACAGCAGAGAGAGCACTCCTTGTCTGACAGACCAGGGGCCAGTGACAGCCGTTCAGATCATTGCAGTTTGGTGTATTATGCTACTTGAAAAGCACTGCTGAACTGAAACCCAAGTGCTCTGCGGGTGCTTATGTTGACAAGCAGCAAGAGTAGTTACAGCCACGAACAGGCAGTTGCCACATCTCCAGCACTGCACACCCCCAGCATTCTGTCATGCTGCACCAGCTGCAGCTGGGACCACACTAGAAGGTTCCCCTCATCTCAGTACAGCACAAACGGGAAAATGATCGGGCCACTGCTGACATGAAAAACACCTGGTGATAGAACTGATCTCGGGAGCTGACATGGCCCATGTGTATCTGCTCAGCTGTAAGCACACGGGGCATGCAGACAGCATTGTGTCACATACTCTTAGAACAGCCGTGAGGCAATCAAACAACTTTCAGAAAGGGAATAATAATAACCCTTTGCAGCAGTTATTGCTCAGAAGCCCAAAGGTTGTTACTTTCGAACAACAGGATCGCACAAGTGGCAGGGGTGCAGGGTGTAGCACACCCAAACGCTGGAAGGACGAGCACAGCAGCTGCCCTGCCAGAGCAACGGGGGGAACCTTCCTCGGGGCGGGCGAGGCCGCCACGGGAAGAGCGCGGGGCCATGGGACGCCGCAGACCCCAAGGGACGAGGAGCAACGCGTAGCCGGCACCGAGGGGCCGCAAGACCACAGCTCCTCAGAGCAGCGTCCGGGGAACCGGCCTAGCCTCTCGCTCGGCCTCGCCTCCGGTCGGGGACTGGCCGCGGGGCACAGCAGGGCCGCAGCTCCCACTGCGCCGCCCCGTGGCTGGCGGCCGCCATAGCCGGGCGGCTCCTTGCCCCAGCGGCGCCCAGCGGCCGCGAAGCGCGCACGGGCACTGGGCCGCGCTGGGGGGCGCCCCCCGCTCCCGCCCCTCAGCAGCCGCAGGCCCCCGAGTCCCTGGTGGTGGCCCGAAGAGGAGCCTTCTCCACTGAAAGCACAAGCGCCAGGAAGGCAGAAAGCTCCTTCCACATCCAACGTGCAATCCTCGCCTTAGCCCTCGTGGAGCAGAGGCTGCTTCCCCCCCAGTCACGTTGGAACAGCACCTCAGTGACCTAGGCTACTTACCATACTAGGAGCATATCAGCAGACACGCAGTGAACTTTGCTCAAGCTCGAGGGGGCTGACTGCAAGACTGTTGCTCGACTGAAATCTTAACATAGCCCGCAAAACACTGTGAGCTTGTAATAGAAGAGCACAGCTCTAACAGGCCCCAGCTGGCCCAGCACTTTGTGTCAAGCAGCTGCAGCAGGAACTGCTAGGAAGGAAGACGGGGAAGTTCAGCCACCCTTTACAGCTCATTCTCCTCTCCTCACACCCTGAAGCCTTGTGTAGGGGTGGTAAGAGCATACATCCCTTTTCATCAACCTGGTGGCCTAGAATTTGCCTAACACCTTTGAGAACATCCCACCTGCCTCCCCAACACCCTGTGGCAACCAGATTCAAAGTTCACTTTCTGCTACATGAAAAGACACATGTTCTCTGGAGGCGAGATCTGGTTCTGTGCTCACCTCACCTCACCCACCACCTTCTCTGGACTCTGAGCCTTCCCACAGCCTGCTCACTTCAAAACAAGGTCAGAGCCTGTGTGGGCTCTCCTCTTGAAGCATCCTCCATCGTCTTCGTAGCCTTACCCTGCATGTTCTGCCACATCCTCTCTGAAACACAAGGGCTAATTCAGAGCCACCACTAATCTAAGTGTCATCACTTTGCGACCCTTCTGCTCTTTGTGTTTCTTCTGCTGAGACACCACGATTGAACCCTCCCTCCCACCCAACTGCACATACACAATCACAGCCCTGTTTCAAAGCACAGCAAGTCCACTAGCTGAATTACATCTCTATTTTTTATGCTGAAGTCATGGAATTATTTCAAAGACATGCATTACAGGAATATACAACAGCACCACTTCCCACAGAGGATGGCATCGCATCGTAAGAACCCACTGTCACATGTAGCTCCCTGAGCACAGTAATTTCCCTAACAGAACACCCAAGAACAATCAACTGGCACTGAGCAGAGGGAGCTGTAGTGGCACCAGCCAGACCCCTGAGGAGGCAGCCTCATGTGATGCAAATGCAGAAGGGCAGTTGATTGACATCACTGGTGCCGGCACACAGCTCACTTGAGGACAACAAAGAAAGGCTTTACAGTGGCAGGAAACTGACTGACACCATGTGCACAAAGCCATGCAGCAGCCAATAGAGCCCGACAGGAACATACTCATCTGTCAACAAGCCTTTCTTCCCTGTCTGAAATCAAACCTGCAAGAAAATCAAGATGACCTCACATTGAGGAACTACAATTCCTTTCTCTCTCCAGGCAGCAGCCTCAGACTACCTCTCAGGAAGAGATGGCAGCAATTCAGATACCCTCTTCTGCCATCTTGCAGTGCTCTCGCACAGCAAGCCGAGTTGGCATTTAGAGCTGAACACAACTTATCACTAGGAAAAAACTAAAACCTGAAAAACTGAACCTGACAGGAGTGGAGTGAAACAAACAAAGGATTTCTAATAGTAGCATTTTAATCTTTGTTTCATCTCCTATTTTCCGCTGATTTACTCAATACTTCTTTTTCTTTTTTGGAGAAAAAAACTCTCCAGAATACCTGTGCATAAGCAGATCTGTCACTGGGGGGCAGAGCTCACACAAAGCCTACTCCACAAGATCACAAGCATTACACAAGGGAGAGGAGACGCACGGACACCGGCTCCATGGGAACACTGAAGTGCTTGGGACCATCTTCCCATCAGTTCCATTCTCAGCTGCTGCCATCAGCAGGACCGCAGCAACTCCAGTCATGCTTCAAATGCCTCCTTTCCATTTCACTCATTATGAGCAAACCAACAGTTAGTAATTTCCCTCCATAGTTTTAATAAACGATTCATCTAAAGGACTTCTGTTCCCTAAAGTCCCCTGATCTGTCATTTTTACTTACTTTATCAGACACATCCTTACAGTATAGCTGCAGTAAGCTACTGATCACACTGGACGGAAGAACATACTTTGCTATTGAAACATTTTGTTTTCCAGTTTGCAAAGCTCTTCTTTCACTAGCGGAT